TGAATGTTGTTAAGAATTCTGACATGAAGATTTAAGGGACGACATATAGTTTTGCATTGAATCGATTGGAGAATTATTTCTTTAGGAATGGATGAGGTGTGATTAGTTTTCTCTTGGAGATGGAAAACTCTGGCTTTTGTCGACATAAAGATTTACAACAGAGATGGTCGGGGCCGAAACATTGAAATAAATCACTGGAGGCGTATTTGGAGAGAGTTTAATATCTCTTGCAATCACAAATATTTGTACTTCCTATGGAAATCAATCACGGTACTATGTCTATGACACCTATTAATTAACGTTTGGATTTTTCTTCTGAAGTTGTTTTTTAATAAACCGATTTATAGATCCGTTATGGAATTAGACGACATGAAAGTCAATATAGAATCCAAACTTTTGAAGAGTTGAACAAATATCAATCTTTGCAGTTTTCAGAAATGCATCTCCTTAATCTAAAATAAAAAAGTCAATATATTTGTCGGTGTTTCCAAGGTTAGTGGCATGTTATTCGATATTGTCTGTTTCTTATTGCATTGCTTTAACTTAAATACCAATATCTAGTACTTTCAGCAACTTATAAATAGTATCGGATTCTCATTAGATAATTTTGAATCCAAACAAACCTAAAGTGTTTTATGAATGGAAAACCCGGAACTGCATTTCACGATAATATCTAATTGCACAATTTAATTATGTGTCATAAAACAAATAAAAAATATTGATTTTCTATGTACCTGTAGCTTAAGTTCAAATAAGGTATAGCATACAGTGGCATCTGTTTTACTCTTAGTTAATGAATGAGAATTGTTTGCTTGAACAGAGCGCCAATGTCCCTTTCTTTGCGATATTTGTCTGCCAAAGGGCAAAAACGACATACATGAAGAAAATCTTTTAAAAACTTTTTAATAAATGTCTTACAAGAAATGTAGGAACGAGATCGCTTACAATGTTATTTTCCATATACTGTCTTCGGTCGTGTATCATACGCTTTTTTCACCCAAGGCATATACTTGGTAGGGTGGGTTCGTAGTATACACTATTTAGGCTCTAAAGACGTTTTTTTTCTTCTTCATTATTGCATCATTTCAAAAAACATGTGTAACATCTCTATTTCTATTTCCAAAGGGCAAAAAGTTGATCGTCACTGATTTTCAAATATATCCTAGACATGACTGGTACAAACCTTTGACATAAATTTCATCAATATCAGGCAAGAGCTGTACACTTAATAGGCACTATTACAAGTACAATGCAATTTTAATATGTAGACTTTATATATCTACGGTACATACACAAATATCTGGCATGAATTGTAATGATGTAATTTTCTATAAAATTAACATTTTTAAGGGACATAACTCCTGTGAAGATAATTGATCATCGCTGATTTTCGAACTCGTCCGAGACATTATTGATATGAATCTTTGATATAAATTTAACAAATATCTGACAAGAATTGTAAACTTGTGAGCGCTTATAATGCAATTTTCTATAGGGTAAACATTTCTAAGGGACATAACTCCTGCAAAAATAAATTGATCAGCCCAGACTTTCTTGGATTAATTTCATAAAAATCTGATAAGGATTGTACACGTGAGAGTGCTCATATGACTGGACGAACAGACGGGCGCCCGGTATTTCTATGTCCCCAGTAAGGTGTCGTTCGTTTGTCCAAATATTGCCCTTTATTTCATTTATTTGTCTGACCTTCAAAATATCATGGGTAAATAATACAGTTAACAAATTTTATCAATTTGACATTTATCTCTATAGCTGTTGATGTGATATTTATATTGAGTCACAAATTCAGGTTTTTTGTTTGTTTGCAGTATTGGATCCATACTTTGTCTTTTTTACTGACAATCAGTGGAATATGTTTTCAATCCTGGTCTAAATCTCAATTCGAAGCGTAATCAATTTATCGTTTAATTCTATTTGCTTAAATCAGGCTGTTAGTATTCTACGTCGTTTCAAATTTTGTTAGCAGAGGACTTTTATACCATTTCATAAATATGAGTTTTGGTCATTGTTGAAGGCCATACGGTAATCTTAAGTTGTTTACATTCTGGTCTTTTAGGGATAATTGTCTCTTTGGCAATCATATCGATTTGTCTATTTTAATATTTTGAAAGGTATAACATAAAGCAAGATATTTTTCGGCAAGATTTCCTTTTCAACCGCCCCCTTTTTCGTGCACGACTATGCTTATTCTGTCAATTAGAGGGGCTCAAAAGGAAGCAATTGTTCGTTCATGCAATACAAGTACATTACATAATGATAATAATCCTTTCATTTTGATGTCGTTTTAATTTTTGTCTCACTAACGTTTTGGTATACATTTCGAGTGAATTCTTTTAATTTCTACATTTGAACATACAAACATACAATTAAATGTGTTACCAATACAATTTCTGTTGCATATGCAACGTACGAAAACGGTTTTCGTTTGGTTTATTTTGTTATCAATGACCAGTTTCACTATAGAAATTTTGATATCAACACCTCAAGAGAAAGAACCAATTTCCCTTGAATCTATTGAACAACTCTATTTTTAAACTTTTTTTCCAATCTGTACTAAAGCTCACACTAATGCATCTCCATATGAGTACTGTTTGACTCTAAAACTATCATGGCTCACTTCTAAACAGATAACAAAAGATAGACCAACCCCATTTTGACCAATTTTGGACAAATTTTGAGTTTTCAACCCAAATTTTAATGTATAAATAAGATATGCTCAACAAAACCAAAATTCAGTTTTAAATAAAGCTTTAGACTTTTTTTAATACAAGTAAGATCAAGTTGTTTAGAAAAGTTCTTCAATACTAAATTTTACAAAAACTTGTAAAATTTTCTATTTTGTATGAAATGCCTTCAAAGACAACATGCCGCATGTAGCACCGTATAACATTTTATTTTTGAGCACACATGTAAAACTGTTGAAAAATGTTTTTATAGCACAAGATATATATATTCTCTTTAATGACAGAACAACTTGATAACGTTTATATCTTTTAATGGGAAATTGGTTCTAATTTTCTGCATATTTGAATTTTATGTATTTTCTGAAGATCGATTGAAAAAGTGTAGTCTCCCACCTTCGGCGGAAGGGAAATAAGTCATTCTTGATTCGTTTATATATAATATATATAAATTTACATAGTAGTACGGTGACCTTCTTGACCATAAGTATTTGGCCTTTTATAGAAATTAAAGTCGCACATCCGCAAATTATAATAGACGTCCCAACATTTAGTGGAATGACTAGTGATTTGAGAACGATACAAGAATTACACTGATTAACCACAAGTGTACCTTTTTTCAGATTTATCTCCGAGTTAAATTAACTGTTCTATTTCAAATAAACATTCGTACAAATATTGTTCTTTTTGTATTATCCATAGACAAAATTGCACTAGGAGCTTGTTACAGTAATAATATAAAGATGTTAATCTTTGCTGCATATGATAATTTGTAAAAATGTATCCATACAGAATTTGAGCCTTTTCCATACTGATTGTTCCTCATACACCTATAATGGTAAAAAGAGAACGTCCGGTAAGGGCTTATTTTGGCCTAAAATTAGAAGTTTATCTGATGAAAGATTTTTACATTTTTTAAACTTCAGTCGATTCAAATAGTTTGTGTAAACGATTTAAACGGATTTTGGTTGTTAAAGACGCATAAATTCAAGTTTAAATATGAAAAATCTATCAAATTACAAGTTGGACAAAATGTCACTTTTCAAATGGTTTTTGTCTAAAATGGAAGTGGCCGCATTCGTGTTCAGTCTCATGCTTCATATATGTTATGTATCATCATCAAATACAACATATATTTGAATATTAAGACTGAACACAAGTGCGTCGACTTCCATTTTAGACAAAAACCGTCTAAAAATTAGCACAAATGCTAAAATTGTGAAGATTTCAGTAATTTTGCATGAATTAATGATGCTAGTACCTGACACATGTGCAGTGTAATGTCAAAGACAGCCCATATTTATGTAACAAAAGTATTCTTCTTTCCAATAAATAGCTAAAAGTTCACATTTTTTACAAATTTTGAAATGATATATTTTGGGGCCAAAAAGGGGTCTTACCGGGGCTACTCCTTTCCCAAAATGTACCTTAAAGCAACTTAATTATTGAGCAAGCCGGTTTACTTTTTGTCACTTGAACTTTCAAAATGACAATAGTGTGTTTGTGTAAATACAAACAATTATAAATATTATTTTACGTAAAACAAACAAGCCTTGCTGTTCTCATCGTTAACTTATGTAGAAGAAACTAATATTATTATAATGTAAATCAGTGTTTTATTGCAATGTGTTCAAGTTTTTCTTTTTTGCTAGAAAAAAAAAACCAAATCGTTTCTAGCAAACAACGTGCCAAACATTGAAGAGTTCCAGTACACAAAATCGTGTCACCAGTTTTCCCCCTGCTATTGCTTAAACTCAATACATATATAACTTTTCATACGATATCCGGATCGACTTGGTTTGTCCTTAAAGTAGGTTTGTCCTTAAAGTAATAAATGAACGAAGTGAACAGATGGCTTACCAAAGCAGAATTTGCAAACTCAATGCGGACTCATAGTAACATGACAGAATGGCATTCGACTTATAACCTGCGACTCATTTCACAAAAAATCTTAAGAGTAAAAATACTCGTAAGTCATACACATTTCAGTATAACTTACGATCAATTTTAATCGTAAGATTTTTTATGAAAAGAGTTGCTGGCCCCCGCTATCAGTTATTTTATTGTTCGGTATAACATACTGAACTGATCAATCTCATTAATTATAGCAAATGCTAGTCATATTAATCTTACTTAACAGATTATGTATTACAGTATGCATGCATTATGATGTACGTGCGTTATTACATATTTCTTATACATTAATGTGTAGAACGGATATCCGACTACGTAAGGGAAATAGTTTAATATTTTATAACATATTACATACGTTATATATGAATTTACATATTTATGGGTTGAGGAGGACATTACAAATTGGAGACGTTTGCCATAGACATTGTTCTTTCTACTTAGAGTCTTCCTTAAAATTAAAATCCCGGATTAGAACTTTATACAGCCAGTTTTATCTTAAAGATAAAATTCACGAAATTCTTCAATTATATTTTTTGTTTTACAATTGATGTATTATATCCTTTTGGATAAAGTCCCATGAATTATGCATGTGGGGATAATTCCTGCTGATCACAATTAGATTTGAAGGACAGAAGGTCGAGTAATTTTCAGAAGGTTGTATTCAAAACCTCAAACACTCTGAAGGAACAATGACCGATAGTGAAAACACACAAGCAGGGTAAGTCTTTTGTTCTTCCGCAGGGAGCAATGTTTTCTGTACATTTACATAAGAATTCTGACTGTTATGTGTTTATTGATTAGTAGGTTTGACATCCATTTGTCTTATATATCCATTTATATTACAATCAAGTAATTACTTCTTGTCCATATTGTCTCTTTCAATAATCATATTTCCAAGTTCTGTGTCATTTTGAGTTGTTAATTTGCTAATTAAAAGGAAAATATACAGTCATGTATATAGTAATATCAAATACTATATGCATGAAAACAAATCTGCCTTTAAGCTTGGCTTGTGTTTTATTATTTCATTGCTTACTTATACTTCCGAACCATCCATTCAAGTATTCCTTTCAGTCTGTCGAAAAATGACCATCTAGGTCACACAGCTTACAGTTCGTACTTTTATTCATTGCATGCTGAATACTGCACTGAATGTTTTCAAGTACGGACAATCGGATTAACTGCTTAAGGATTTATTCATATGGCGTATACAGAAGGTAGCAAAGAGATCGAAAATAAGGTCTAGTGTCATAATGATGAGGATTAATTACTTATTATGTAACATATAACGTCTATCAATCCTAAACAGGACAAACACCTTGCTATAATATCGAACAGAATTTTGTTATGCACTTTACCGAATTTGACTGATGTATTTGCTTACAATAACAATCCACGAAAAATTGATATAATCATTTTTGCTAGAGTTTCAAAAAGTCAAGAAACTCACAAGGTAGCTAATGGCATAATTGTAGAACTTCCCGGACTTCTTTGGGGAGCCTTGTGCACTTTCTTCTAAACCAAATTTAGGTCCACGAAAGCATAAAATTGAGGCAAAGAACTAGTTAAGGTATTCATGTATATAGTGATTAGACTTATTAGTATTCAACTGGGGCATTATATATTATCCTCTTTCTAGGAATTCAACAAGTCATCGCCGGGATTCCGAGGTATTCAAGAAAACTGTATCTCTAATAATACAGAAATAATCCCTTAACAAAACCCCAAATCTGAAACCTGTTACCGTTGTTCTTCATCTCATAGTCACAGCATAGATTTATACATCTATGGTCACAGTGAGGCTTTCAACAAAAGCAGAGACATAATTATACATTCAATTCAATTCAATATTGTATTGCCATTAATCACTATATATATAATAACTCAAAGGTTATCGACACAAAATCAAATAAGGATGATAAAATAAAATATAACACTAACATATAAACGTCTTGTGATAGTCAATAAATAAGTCAATATGACTCCACACCTCAGTTCCAATGACTGTTTTATGACGAAAACTCTGAGCGAAAACTATTGTTTAATTTGACTATGAGATGTTGGGTTAACTATCATTTTTTGATTGTTTCATCTATTTTTATCAAAATTTAAGATGTCCTTGTTTATAGTTTCATATCTTTTAAATACTCTATTATATTTTTTGCAATTTAGGAAGAATTGTTTTTCGTCTTCCAGTATATATTGCAAAATTTACAGAGTCTCGTCTCTAGGCAGAGCGCGTCTCTAGTCTCTAGGGATCTTTTAATGTCTGCATTTTTCTATTTAAAGAGTGTGTTCACTCATTCTTTATTTAGTTATTAGTTTTCTAAAATCAAAATAATCGCCATTTAGGTAAAATTCACTATTTAAGTTAACTTAATGGCTTTACATATATATATATACGTGTTGTTGCTTTCATCCCAGTCATTTATTCTTTTCTCTTTTGATGTTTATGATATTCATTACCTCGTGATTAAATAAGCATTTTGTTTGATGCTCTTTTTTCTGGTTTATTATTCGTGTTTATAAACGTTAATTATATAGTAAAGTTGAGAAAATATGTATTCTTCCCAGGAAGTCTATTTAAGTCACTGGAAGTTTATCTATTAATAAAATTGAGAATGGAAAAGGGGAATGTGTCAAAAAGAAACAAACTCGACCAAAGAGCAGAAATCAGCTCAAGGCTCTTGACTGATTTCTTTGTTTAGCTATTTTTACTCAATGATATGCCATGTAGCTCTCCATATATTCGAAACTTCAGAGTTACCTGTAAGTACTGGTTTTACCAAAGAGTCAAATAAGTTACATGATACATTTACCTTTCACCGAGCCGGAGGATCACGTTGTACGATTTTAAGGAGAAACAATCTAATTAAAATATAGAACTCGGATTTCGTTATACTACATATAGTAGTATAACGAATTCCAAGATCTATATTTTAATTAGATTGTAAGGAGAAAATACTGTTCTGGCTTTGATTAAATGAATCATTGCGTTTCATCACATTTTATAAACATTTGTATGCAGAAACATTTTCCGATGGTTCTTGCAGGTTTATTCAAAAAATATAAAGGATCACAAAGGATATGAAATTATTCTTCACCTCACATTGAGGCTTTCAACAAAAGAAGAGACATAATCATAAAGCATAAAAAACCCTGTGTATAATGTATATGTCTATTACTAGAACCCTAGTTATGGTCTTCTGGTATCATGATCAGAGACATATATACACATTGTGTATATATATGTCTCTGGTATCATTTACATTTTTATGACTATTTACATTTGATTGTGAAATAAAATACGAGAAGATAAGCTTTCAGTAGAAAATACTTTTAGAATATCAACAAAAAAAAATGGGGTCACCGTACGTTTTTTACCTGCAATAAAATAAAATAGAAAAATTCATGTTGATTCCTCCAGAAACAATACTATTTCTGAGTTACCTTCCCTTAATAACTTGATCAAAAATGAAATCAATCAAAAATAATCTACCTTTGTTGAAATATTAGTTATTATAAGCTGGGACATAATATATTATGTTAGTAATAGTCCCAGTTGTAAGTTAAAATTACAAAAAAATGTTCATTTAATTGAAAATTCACGTTACTTAATTGCATTTCTGCATAAAAATTTGCTGACTTGATTAAAAATCTATACTTATATATTTTGTTCTGCTATTCAACAATCCAAGATTTAAACTTATAAAAAAAAATAGAGTTGAGTGAGCTCTGTTTTTTTTTAAACGACTATACAGTATTCTGTACTTGAGATTCCGAGAAGATCTCAGGTATTTGATAGGAATATTGTTTTAAGACATTAAAACAGTATGATCAGGACTAGTGTACAAGCTTATAACAATAAATGGTCATTAAACTCCTTTGTTCTCATCGCTTTAAGCGATATCTGTGATTTTAGCTTTGTAACCAACGATTTTTTTTCGTTTGGCCTATCGTATTTCTTCGGAGCATATCGGGCCTTTTCTTGCTTTGTAAGGGTAGAATTTTGTAAACAGAAAATACAAATTCCTTGAATATTTATTGCTTTCTCTCCTGTAGGCAGCACATACACATTCATCATGTGGATGGGACAAGGGTAATATTTTATGATCTAAGAATTAGGGTATCGTATAATGCAGAAATTTCACAAAAAATCGATAAACCGCAAGTGGTATATAATTTCAAAACTCAGGGGAACGGGAAAATTTTTTGTTTTCCAAGTGTTTCCATTGAGTAGAGGCCTAATATTGTTATTAATTACATTGCCTAGCCCGTCTTCATAATTTCTGAAAAAGAAAAAAATGCCCTGCTAATCAGATGCTATACTATCAACAAATGTTACAGGTTTTGATTAAACAGCAATCTAGAATATAATAGAATGATGGTGATGATTTTGTGTTTAGCATGTCTAATGCACAGTGGCAAATATTACATGCATAGCAGGTCAAGAACATGGAAATTTTACATGAATATGAATCCTGCTTTGTACATCCTGATTTTCAGAGACAAGTGCCTGAGCATCATCCCTTGGTCTTCTTACAACCGATAATAAAATCTGTGCCAAAGTGGGGCATCTGTTTGGCTAGCTGTACCAGATATACCAATAAGCAGGCACCTCCTGTCAGAAAAGGGATGCCTCTTGTAAAGAGATAGACATGCCCTGAGCACTTTGAGAACCCTTGCATGCCCTTCATCCTGATCAACCCCTATTGCAAGACATGTCTTATATTGTATTGATTGTTACTTTTTTCTCATCCTGAATATGCATGAAATATTTGCTACTGGACATAAAGCAATCATACTAGACTGACATCTGTTATTTTGATGTACTAGTTTACAGAGTAACAGTCAGCAGAAAGACATGTCATTCTGTTATGGAATAGAATATCCTCTATAATAATAGTTCCTAGTGGAAGAAATATTCTGGAGTATTATTTCCACTGGAAATGGAAATAATACAGAATTTGTTATTAAAAAAAGTAGGATATAGAATATTTATTCCAACAGGAACATATATAATAGTATACACTTATTTTAATACTGGCTATGAGGACAATAGCAAGGTTATTGTCCCCCGAGGCACCAATTATTTCCCGACGTGAATAAAATATTTGCTACGGGACACTCAGTAGCCACTAATCAAGTAGTTAAATCATAATTTCACAAGCGTAAAAAAATTTGGTTAAATTATATTCTGTATTGACGTCATAATAATTTGACTTTGCAAATAGCACAGTTAAAGTATAAACATTCATTCAGAATTTCCTGGAGACTTAGTCAATTCAAACGATACAGTAAGTATGGGAAAATATCCCATAAAAAAGACTATTAACAGGTAACAGGTAAATAGTTTTGAAACCATAAACCAGTTAATAGTCTTTTTCAGACAATTTCGTAAAAAAATTCCCGAAATGAGGCATTTCAAGACTGTCACATTTTAATTTAAAGAAGTTTTACAAAAACTGGTTTTCAGGCTTATAGGTCAAAAAGTTTTGTTGAAAACTATGATCTATTAATATTTAAGCTTTCATTTCTTAAAATACATGAAATACATCATATACTAATTGGGTTTTTTTTCAGTCCAAGTTATGAGGAAGTCCATGAGATTGCTAAGACTCTAGAAGGAAAAACAAAATACAGACCGAAGCTAGGTATTGTTTGTGGATCAGGACTGGGAGGACTTGGTGATTTAGTAGAAGAAGCTGATATCATACCCTATGATGAAATACCACACTTTCCTGTCAGCACAGGTGGGTATTGTCATGATTGTCAAAGGAAAGCAAGTACATGTAGAGGCCATTTATGTTGTATTTCTCATTTTTTATACGACCGCAAAAATTTTTGTCCGAAGACACATTGGTTTTCGCACAATAACTTTAGTTTAAGTGAATGGATCTCTATGAAATTTTACCATAAGGTTCAATACCACAAAAGGAAGGTTGGGATTGATTTTGGGGGTTATGGTACCAACAGTTAAGGAATTAAGGGCTAAAAAGGGGCCAAAAATAAGCATTTTTCTAGTTTCCAGACAATAACTTATAGTACGGTGTATGGATCTCTCTGAAATTATTCCACAAGTTTCAATACCACAAAGGGATGGTTAGGATTTGCTTTGGGGGGTTATGGCTCAAACCGTTTAGGAATTGGGGGCAAAAAAGGGGGAAAAACAATGGTGTCCTGGTTAATTGACCAATACTTTAGTACAAAACATAATTTAAAGCAGTGTAAGGGAGGTAATTCAAATACATCATTTGAATTACCTCCCTTACACTGCTTTTAAATTATGTATAAAGTAATGGTTAATGAACAATTAAGTCAATTTAAAAGCAGTGTAAGGGAGGTAATCCAAATACAAGATTTGATTACCTCCCTAACACTGCTTTTAAATTATGTTTAAAGAAATGCATATTTATAAAGGAAGACCAGTAAAAATATCTGCAAATGTTGCATCTTTTTTTTTTTACAAAAAAATCCATATGAAAGATTTGTCACCATATTTTAAATTCTAGTTAGCACTCTGGTAAATTTAAATGGGTAATTATGGTTGCAAACTCCATTGGAAATTTGAATTGAGATTATGACCATATCTTGAGGGAAAGAAATTTTTTGGGGTGAAAAAGAAATTGTGGGGGGTAATTTTTTTCTCATTTCAGATTTCATAAATTAAAAAGAAAAATTCTTCAAATATTATTTTTTTTGCCAAAAAAAAGTGTGTGTGTGTGTGTGTGTGTGTGGGGGGGGGGGGGGGGGGGGGTGTTAATACGCAACAGCATAGTGTATTGCACAAAAGCAAAAAAAAAGGGGGGGGTAAATTTTTTATTTTTTTTTGTGGGGGGAGAGGGGGGTCAATTCGCAACAGCAAAGTGTAGTGCACAAAAGCAAAAAATTGAATATAAATTCAAATCATATAACCAATTCTGAGTTCTTTGACTACCGTTATTCTGTGTCAGAAACCTTTTATGTGTCAAATATTTAATTACAATCCAAATTCTGACCTGTATCAAGCACGAATCGTGAAATTAAATTGCTGCGAAGTGGACTAGGAAGGGCTAAACGTGAAATAAAGTATCCGCGAAAATAAGTTGGTTTACAGTACTACCGATGTACGAACGCATCCAGGCACGTGACAACACATAGGACTGATATGGGTTATCAGACTGGGTGTGAATTTATGGCTAGCTTACTTCTGCTTGTTACACATATGGAAAAACTATTTTAATGCTAAGTACTGTAAATTCAGAAATATTGCGTGCATTTATTATTGCAATTTTTGAAGAATGGACAAAAATGTGAGATTAATTATTGCTATTTTAGGAAAATCTGCATACAGATATTGGTATCAGATGTCTTAATGCGAGTTCTTATTATTGCAATAATCACCAAGTCGCATTATTCGCATTAATAAAAACCTCACAATAATTTCTGAATTTACAGTATATGATAAAATATAATATATAGTTGTGTTACATGTATGTATGACATATCATCAATATGTTTTTTTGTTTACAGTTCTTGGACAGAAATAATATCAATTATGCTGAGAAAATATGCTATCTGTTATAAACATGAAAATGGGTAGGATTAAATTCTAATGTTTAATTTTATTTGCAGTTCCTGGACATATGGGAAAGCTGGTTTTTGGAAAGTTGAAAGGTCAGATAGTGGTATTAATGAGAGGAAGATTACATTGTTATGAAGGATATCCTATGTGGAAGGTAATGTGGTAGATCATAAATACACTAGAATCAATATAACTAAAACACCTTTATATCTCGCACTACATGTATGATGATAAAGAATTGTGTGCCCATTGAGTATCCAACTACATATAAAAAATTGAGCAAGGTTATAAAAGTTATTTATGAATCCTTTTTCCGCAAATTCTCATGTGAATAAGAAAAATAAAAAAAAATAGTCAAACCTCAAGAAGATCTTTTATCTACCCATCTAACATTGGTATACTTTGATACATAATTGTATGTAGACTTTGGCATACAAAGTAAAATAAATTCTCAACACAAAACTATTCAAACGAATTGATTAAATCTTGAAGTGTTTTTTTTTTTTATACGACCGCAAAAAAATTTTGCGGTCGTATATTGGTATGACGTCAGTGTCGGTGTTGGAGTCGTCCGAAGACACATTGGTATTCGCACAATAACTTTAGTTTAAGTGAATGGATCTCTATGAAATTTTACCATAAGGTTCAATACCACAAAAGGAAGGTTGGGATTGATTTTGGGGGTTATGGTATCAACAGTTAAGGAATTAGGGGCCAAAAATAAGCATTTTTCTAGTTTCCAGACAATAACTTGTAGAACGGCATATGGATTTGTCTGAAATTATACCACAAGTTTCCATACCACAAAGGGATGGTTAGGATTTGCTTTGGGCTCAAACCGTTTAGCAATTAGGGGCAAAAAAGGGGGAAAACAAGGGTGTCCTGGTTAATGGACAAATACTTTAGTACAAAACATAATTTAAAGCAGTGTAAGGGAGGTAATTCAAATACATTATTTGAATTACCTCCCTTTTACAATGCTTTTAAATTATGTATAAAGTAATGGTTAATGAACAAGTAAGACAATTTAAAAGCAGTGTAAGGAAGGTAATCCAAATACAACGTTTTGATTACCGCCCTTACACTGCTTTTAATTATGTTTAAAGAAATTTATAATTATAAAGGAAGACCAGTAAAAATATCTGCAAATGTTGCATCTTTTTTTTTACAAAAAAATCCATATGAAAGATTTGACACCACATTTTAAATTCTATTATAAAATCGATTAAGTTAGCACTATGGTAAATTTAAACGGGTAATTCTTCAAATATTATTTTTTTGGCAAAAAAAAGTGTGTGTGTGTGTGTGTGTGGGGGGGGGGGGGGTTAATACGCAACAGCATAGTGTATTGCACAAAAGCAAAAAAAAAAGGGGGGGGGGGGTAATTTTTTTAATTTTTTTTTTTGGGGGGGGGGGGGTCAATTCGCAACAGCAAAGTGTATTGCACAAAAGCAAAAAATTGAATATATTTTCAAATCATATAACCAATTCTAAGTTCTTTGACTACATGTATTCTGTGTCAGAGACCTTTTATGTGTCAAATATTTAATTACAATCCAAATTCAGACCTGTATCAAGCGCGAATATTGCGTCCATTTTTGCCCCAATTGTTCAGGGTTGGACCTCTGCGGTCGTATCCAGCTACGCTCGGCGAAGCAATTTATTTTTTTTTCAAACAGCAACTATTTTGTTTTTACTAAGATTGTCCTATGATGGCATCATTTTAGTTTCTGTATTTTTTTTTATAGCTCTTCGATCTAGTCTCAATTTCTAAATTGTCTGTGTATAAGAAAAAATATCCTAAAGACCAAAAGAATTACAGAATGGCATTTATTTTAATTATGACCAAATACAAAGTAGACTTTTCATGATTTGATAGGACAAAATAAAATGATAAGGGATTCAAAAAGTAGATATCAAAAGTATGATAGCCAAAAAAGCATACCAAAGCCAAATACAAAGACAAGCATCTCAATATACAGAACTTTTCAAATACAGAAAAACAAAAGATAAGTATGGTACTGAAAACTTGAACCCCACTTTACAAAATGGTGAACACTGGTGCTGGAGAAGCCAAAGCAGTTCCTATTTTCAAGTTTACAAATTTGTTATTAAAGATGGATAAAATAAATGAAATTTAATTGAATCAGATGGGCAGACTTCAGCAAAAAATTCAGATATCATATTATATTAAAAGATGAACTTTCTTTATTACAGACAACAATACCTATACGGGTAATGAAGGCTTTAGGTGTAGAAACATTATTTCTGACCAATGCAGCTGGAGGGATCAATCCTGAATTTAACACTGGTGATATCATGATTATTAGAGACCATATAGACTTTGCTGGATTGTCTGGTGAATGTGTACTCAGGGGAGCTAACGATGATAGGTGAGTCAGAAAGAAATAATTTTATCCAACACAGTGGAGCTTTGTCCATTTACGTTTACCCATAGGTGATTTAACAGAAATTATGTAAAAATAAGGAGATGTGGTTTGATTGCCAATGAGACACCCATCCAAAGACCAAAGGAAAAGGACCTGGGTGATATGCATAAAAGTACTTAAATTAAGAATTGTTCAAAAAGAACAGATTTTTCTACATGTCCTACGATAAATTAGTACTACAATTTGATATCTTAACTTAAGTGGTTTTATGAGAGTGTTTAATCAGATCAGTGCTGAGAACAAAAACAAATGACAAAAAGGCAAAAGACACAAAGTACTGATCTAAGAGTACTATTATTTGCTAGTTAAAAGGCCAATTTGAACTCATAAATAAACTATATTCTGTCTGACAATAATATCAGTCTAAGTACACCTCCAATGGATTTAGTGTAAAGACCTCATAAGCAGTCTGAGAAAAGCATGTTTTTGTGCCAAAATATAAGTGTTGATAGGTTGCAGGACCACTTAATACATTGAAGGTGTTTACAATACAAAATTACCTCAAGTTTGTGCTATCTATACTCAGATTTGGACCCAGATTCTTAGCAACAGTTGGAACATGGGATGATGCTATGAATGAGTTAGCAGAGAAAGCTGCCAAGGAATTAGGACTTGGTGATATACTGAGACGAGGCGTTTATGTAATGATAGGAGGACCTACATTTGAAACTGTAGCTGAGTCCAGGCTGCTGAAAAATTTTGGTGCAGATGCAGTTGGTTAGTATAAAACACACATGAATATGTTATCTAATTTATTGTGTCTAAATACTTTGCTGTCACAAAAATATATGGATTATCATGTTATTCTGATTCAATTATTAACATGTTCAATCTAAAATGTAAAAATACACATGTACAAACACACACATACACAGAGTTGATGTAATGTGGATTCTTATTTAATTTTACTGTACTAATCAATAGTTTTTGTGGATTTCATGGGTAAAGCCTAAAAGTCAACCAAATTTTTTTGAGTGCTCAATGAATTACCAATTTTATATATGCTTGTAAAGAGATTTTGTTGAAACCATGACAACAAATATCCACATAAAGAATACAATTTTAGCTCAAACTGCATACGATCCACATTACATGATTTACATATCTGTTCAGGTTTTAAAAATGTCATTGTAAAATAAAAGTTAATAAAGACATGCATAGCATATGTTGTTTTCCTGCAAAGTACATTGTACAATATGTTTATAAGAATTAAGAAATTTTTATTTTAAGAAAGTGGATTAGAATGTCAAAATATTTTTAATACGGACAATGTATTTTCTCTATAGGTATGAGTACAGTAGCTGAAGCTGTTGTTGGACGTCACATGGGTATGAAAGTGTTTGGTATATCATTGATTACAGATAAATGTTGTCTAGACTACACCACTGCAAAGGTTACAACACACGAAGAAGTTTTAGCTATAGGCCAAAAGAGGGCTAAAGATCTGCAAAGTCTAGCTCTTAAAATTCTAGAACTAATGCAATAAGTTAAAGCATAATTTTAGAGTAGGTTTATGTTTATAATTTTTTTTTAACATTTTTTGTTGTTTTTTTAATTGGTTAGTTTAGCTTCCTTGCCAGCCGTTTGATCTAAAGTTGCATAATGTTTACTGGTCAGCATTTTGATTATAACTTTCAGATAATCAAGTTTGATATGATTGTAGAGATTTTATTCTGTTTAATGCATTAACTTAAGTAAATTCCTATTGAATTGAATTCCTATATCAATGTATAGCCAATATTGTTCTATGCAAAAGTAAAATAATAATTTTGAGGTCTTTTCACTTCAATAAAGGATGTGTAAACATAAAAATATCAAAATTTAAGTGAAATGTAACACTGCTGACAGTTCTTGTAATAAGAAGGCCCTTATTAGATTAATTTTTGCTATTGTAGACAAGCATTTGACACCTTGAAAATTAATTTATTTATTTTGAAATAGTTTCAATTACATAACAATGTAACAGACACATGTTTCAAAATCAAAAACAATATTTCAAAATACATGGTATATGACTTTCCTTTGAATGGATAGTGACATAATTGATGATACCTAGGCTAAAAATTACATAACAATATTTATTTAAGGAATGAATGTTATATTTTTTCTGTCTTTGAAGAAATAACATAAAAAAATGTGGTGCACACTGAATAACCCGCATAGCAGGTTATATAAAAGTCAAGTGTGCACCACATTTTTGAGGTTATTTCAAATAGACAGAAAAAATGTTAAAGTCAGCCCCTATAATTTAATTCTAAATTCTATTTTTAAGGAGTAAATCATGAAAAAACCTTGATGACGTCACGGTCTCATGACAAAATTATGTTTATGAGCTGATAGACAAAAAACTTTTAGCCAATCTGAAGACTTGTTACATCCAAAATTAAATTATTTGGCTATAATATTTACCCATGTTATTCATATATTGTTTGTCAAACTGTATTAACTTATTGTTAAATATGCAATTTTGTGATATATACCATGTGATATGTGTATATTTTAGTTGTTGCAATTATAGATATTCAGATTTGTGATAATAAGACATACTGTTAACTTTCGGATTATAGTAAAGCAGCTTTGAAATAAATGAAGTAATTTTATTCAATTTGATGCATGAGTTCCAAAAAAGATATCCCTATTCAATTGAATTCCTATATCATTATATAGCCAATATCTTCCTATGGGAAAGTCAGTGATACTTTTGAGATCTTTTTAGGTAATAGTCAAACCTTCTTTAAAGGTCACCTCTATTAAGCTAATGCCTGTTTTGCCAAGTCACCCTCTTCTTGTCCCACTGTTTGAACCTTAATCTAAAGGTAACTGCTCTTACAAGGCAGTTTTATGTGTCAGGTTCTGAGGGGGATATATATGACCTTCATGTAAATGATCAACTGAATTTCAAACACCAATTAAAAAAAAAAATAAATAAATAAAATGATCATTGAGAGACTACTACATTAATTTTCTGGACTTAATATTTGTTCCAGTTACTATCATATGTTTTTACATTGTACATTTAAGCACAAAATGAAATCCCCATTTTTTTTAATGCAAATTTTTATACTTGGCAGCTGAGCAGAAAGAAATAGTGTACATTAAAGAGCAGGGGTCACCTGGTTATTTAATAAAAAAATATGTACACATGCAAAAATCATAACTTTAAATGAACACTTCTGACATCTAACTATGTCAATGCAGTAACATTTAACTTGATTTATTTTCCTATGAACTGTCTTTTTATTATAATTTGGCCAAAACATTCTTCTCTTTGACTATTCATTAATGCTCTGTAATTGTATAGATGCTTAACTCATACAGGTTTAAAAGTAAGTTGCTACAAAAATGTCACATAAAGACTAAACTAGTAGACAGTAGTCATTTAAATCAAATAAAAAAATTGACATAATATATAATATATTCAAGTTATATTTGTATATAGTTGATGTATAAATTTAATTAACTATTTATTATATTAGTTGTTGATTTTTAATAAATAACTTTAGTTTTAAATATATTCAAACTAATTATACGGGTTTTATACATTTATTGAGTCACATTTTTGTTTCGAACTTTTTGTAGACTTTCTACCAGAAAATCAAATGTATATTATTTTGCAAGACAAAATCCATATATGAAGCTCATATGCTGTTAATATGCAAATAATCACAACTAACATAAAAATACATTCATATTGATAACAAAACTTTTTGCTATGAGAGTAATTTTATCTTGTATTCTTGCCATTACCAATGAAGCCATGACTTTAATAATAAGCTGAAATGACTTGGCAGCTTGAAATGTCTTGTAAACTTGTCTTTACAAGAAGGATAAAGACCTGATGTTTTTCTTAATTTTTTGTTCCCAATGCAAGATAAGTGCAATGTTTACCATTTAGTACTGACCAGCACTTTGATTTGTTCTAGAACCAGTATGTCACTTCAAGGTGAATATTTGTAAATGTGTATAATTTATTTTACTTATCTTTTCCTACCCAGAGCAGAAATCCTTGTTCTTAATTGCATAGATATATGTGTCAGTCAATATTACACATGAGGGTCTGGATGGGGGTTCCTCAATTCTTTATTCTGTAAGTTTTTAGATATTTTTTTCTCTATTCTTTATCAGTTTTGATCATAATTCTTTATTCTTTATATTTTAACACCTCCTTATTCTCTATTCTTTATTTTTTATACATATTTTCTCTATTCTTTATATTTTTAACCCTTTATTCTGCACCTTTTGTTCATTATTCTCCAGTCTGTAAACCCCATCCTGACCCTCATACATTCTATTTGAATCCTATATATTGAGATCTTGTATTGTTACATGTAATGGTATTTATTCATATTGTTACACTTGAAAAAAAAAGTTTGCCAAATGCTAAGTCTCATATTGTTTTGGGAGAAAAGCCATGATGCAAATAACAAATATATTCATTAATTTACTAGGACTAACATTGTTATATTTTTACATTGATTAATCAGAAAGTAATTATATAACTGCATATGCATAATGGAAAGTGTTGGTACATTTTATATGTTATTTAATCTACTAATATGCATTTAAATTTTGTTAATGGTGTTTTATATTACTTTTCTTTTACATATCAGACAGTTAACATTTTGTATTATTATACTTCACGATAAAATGCCAGATTTTGATTAGCTAATACAAGGGAGATAATTTACTCTATCCCATGGCTCAGCGGGAGACATTTTTGGAATGTCACCCTCTCGTGTAGACCAATAAAAAATTGATAGTTTAATGGACAAAGAATTGAATTTACATCAATTGTTTTAAAAACAATGCTTAGGTTCTACAGTTTGACCTCGTACTTTTTCATGAAGTGTCAAAATAAAAAAATACATCTTGCATCACTCTATTTTCTAATAACTGTAACGTTGTTATGTACATGACATCATAGTTAATAATTTTCAGTTTGATTTAAAAGAGAATAATGACATAACATTCAGTATAATTAATTAAAATGACAGAGCAGATTGTTACCTCTTGAAAAAAATTGTCAAACTTTGTCTTCGCCTCGGTTGACAATGTTTTCTTGGGGTAACAGTCTGCTCTGTCACCCTCTTAGCTATGTGTTATTTATATAATGTCCTAACAAAAGTGGTGTTATGAGAATGTTGGAACAATATACCGGTACTCTAAATTCAAAAATTCTTTTGATGGTTTTATTATTGCAAAATCAGGTATCTATGACTAAAAATTTTCCGTGCATCCATATAATTGATACCATGAAAATAAAGGAATCTACAGTAAGACTAAGACATGTCAATTTGATGAAACATTGCACTGTTTACAAATTATATATCACCAGTTTACTAGTACAGAGTATTTTTCATAAAGCTTGCCGCTTTATTGATTGATGTCCTTGACAACATAATATATATAGCTTGTCTTATAAGTAATTTGGTATTTGCTAAATTTAATAAGGATGGTCAACCTTTCGGAAAAACCCAAATGGATGAAAATATGTAAAAAAAAATTTTTATAGTATTGTACTTCATAGTATTTGTAGTAAAAAGCATAATCACAGGAAAAAGGAAATGTCATTTTTTGAAATTGAAAACTCTGAAAAGTATGGACATTATATTTAATTGTTTGTTATTTGTATTCTTGTTAGAACATAATGCATGTTGAATGTTACTTTGAATCTTGATAAATATGTTAATATTTGTTATTGCTAATAATCCACAGGAGACCAGCCATGTTCCATGTTAACAGTTGTCTCCCCTTTTGAATGTTAAGATTTATTAAATTATTAATGCTGTTTTGTGTTAACTGTGATACCACCGAATCTTTCAGCAATATTATAAATCCATCTTTTTGCACTTTAATAAATTGTTGTTGTGTAAATTGTGTTTTTGTTATTTTTGGTTTTAGATAACACTGGTGATATACATTCAATTTCTTGTTTGTTCTGACAAGTTGATGTGGGCAAAATTTGCAAGCAAAGAGCTCGAGAATTTCTTTTAGACCTTTTTTAATTTAGTCTAACACTATGCAGCAGACAACCCTGGATTTTACATGATTGTCATTTCATTGACTTCTGTTCTCAAATACTTGATGACCCTCTAGTGTTCAACAGTTTAAAGATATATTGAGGATTAGGCAGGAACAATGACTTGCAATTTATACTGAACTGAATTATTTTCAATTTTATCATTTTCAATAACTCAACTGGATTCTGAATCTGACATGAATGTAACAAGCTTAGGTAAAACTCTAATAGCCAGTATACCTGTGCTAAGTAAGGAGCCATGTTTGTTGATTTACTGCAAAATTTAGTATGTAGTCCATTTGTGCCAATTAAGGTCTTTACAATTATCCCTATATGGTGACTTCTTGAAATTTAAATTAGTTTTTTTTGGATGCTGTCATTGACAGTTGCACCAATGGTCTTTTTATTCACATAGACAGAGTTGTGTTTATTAAGGGTATCCCAGAGGTCCAGAGTTTATACTTTCTCTTATTCTAAGGTACTTTTTAATGGTTTTACATCAGTTAAAAGATGTTAATTGTATTTTCTTGGTATCATGTACCGGTATGAACATGCATATATAGTGTCTCTTTTTCCAATTTTACTCAAAGTTTATGAAAAAAGCAGTGAAATATGTTGTAAATCTCTCTCATACTGCTATCAGGTAATATTGATATAATTTAAGACTTTACCTTCTTTTCATTGTTTGTGTTGTACTAAACACAGGTTGGGGAGGGTTGAGTGATCACAAACATGTTTTACCCTGCAACATTCTATATGTACCTATCCAGAATCAGGAGCCTGTAATTCAGTGGTTGTTGTTAATTGCTGTCTCTGATATCTGTTTTTATGCAATAGTAGAGGGGCATTATGTCTCTCGGTCTGTGCATCTGTTCGTTCGCCCGTCTGTCCCACTTCAGGTTAAAGTTTTGGTCAAGGTAGTTTTTGATGAAGTTGAAGTCCAATCAACTTGAAACTTAGTACACATGTTCCCTATGATATGATCTTTCTTATTTTAATGCCAAATTAGATTTTTGACCCCAATTTCACGGTCCACTGAACATAGACAAGAATGCACATGCTGAAATGTCTTGCCTGTTTTACTGACTATTGATTTTATGTTGAAAGTCTTAAAGATAAAGGTTTTACTACAAGTATCACATAAACTTAACATTTTTAAAGATCCATGACAATGAGGTCAAATCAGATAAAACTGTCACACAGACATGTAAACCTTACAATTATTCCATACACCAAATATAGTTGACCTATTGCTTATAGTACTTGAAAAACAGACCAAAACACAAAGAATTAACAATGACCAATGAACCATGAAAATAAGGTTAAGGTCAGATGAAACCTGCCAGTCTGACATGTAACCCTTACAATCATTCCATACACCACATACAGTTGACCTGCTGCTTGTAGTATCTGAGAAACGGACCAAATCACATTATAGTGGACATAACTGAGGTCGAGGTCAGGTTAACCCTGTCTGACAGACATGTAGACGTTGCAAGTATACCAAATATAGTAATCATATTACTCATAATAAGTGAGAAATTCACATGACAAAAAAACTGTAATTTTTTTTCAATGGGCATATGACTGAAACTTCGTAACATAAGGTATCTGCATACAAGGTATGAAGCATCCAGGTCTTCTACCTTCTGAAATATAAAGCTTTATACAAATAGTTTACGCCGCCGCCGGATAGTAATACCTATGTCTCGCATACTGCGACTTTTGTCGCCGGGGAGACAAAAATGATAGTGTGAGTGGGGCATCCGTGTACTATGGACACATTCTTGTTCATTAATTGTTTTGTCATAAATCATCTGTTGGTTTTCTTTTTTGAATTGTTTACATTAAATCATGTCAGGCCTTTTTTAGTTTACTATATGGTACTATATGGTAGGAGTTTTGCTCATTGTTGAGTGCCATATGGTGACCTTTAGTTGCTTACATCTGCATCCTTTGACTCTGGTGGATAGTTGTTTCATTGGCAATCATACCACCCACATCTCCTTATTTTTAAACAGCTGAGATCAGATGCATGTAGTTTAACTTTATTGAACCTTCAAATACTTGTGTATTTCCAAAGAACAAATACTTGAATGTTCTGGGAAAATAGATAACAAGAAACAAATTTGAATGGTTTTACATTTAATATGAATTTAAAAACATGATGAAATTTTATATATTCCTGTCTATTGCAGATGAAGTTATTACAAAAGAAGATGATTCCTAAGTTGCTATTCAAACTGGTTCTTATTCTTCAGTAAATATGCTGCCAAGAATTCTATAGCATTTGGTGGTCTGAAATGAAATAAGAAGTAATTAATCATTGAAGCTATGAATTATAAAAGATAAAATCAAATACATATATTGTATATTTACATTTTTTAGCAATGGCATTGTGTGACCTAATCATACATGTACGGTTATACCATTATCTGTCTTTCCAAAACTATTTCATCTTTTTAGTTGACTTTTAGATTTGAAATACATAATTTTAAGTTAAAAAATAAATGTGGATTGTGTCCACATGTGGACAAAGATTATGCCCCCGCTTGCATATCATATAGTTATAAAGGGACATAACTGAAGAACGGTAAAAGTGACGCTACCCAAATTTGAACTTGATCTGAGTTTTGTGGTAATAAGCATTGACTGTAAGTCTCATAACATTTGGTTGAGGCTAACTTAAGTAGAGAACAGAAACTAAAAATTCAGCAATTGTTCTATTTGTAAACACACATAACTCTAGACCGGTTGTGTATAAGTTTTATAACATTTGGTTGAGACAAACATAAATTAGAGAACAGAAACGAAAAATTCAGCAATTTTTATGTTTATAAAGGGACATAACTCAAGAATGGTAAAAGTGACGCCACTGAATTTCGTATTTAATCTGTATTATGTAGGAATAAGCATTGTGTATAAGTTTCATAACATTTGGTTGAGGCAAACTAAAGTTAGAGAACGTAACAATATTTGTACTTGATCTTAGTTTTGTGGTAATGAGTATTGTGTATATGTTTCATAATGTTTGGTTGGGGCAAACTTAAGTTACAGAATGGAAACTAAAAATTTAACAATTTTTTTATTTATAAAGGGGCACAACTCAATAATGGTTAAAGTGACACTACCCAAATTCAACTTGATCTGTGTTTTATCAGTGGAAGGCAAAATTAAACATTGCATTGTATAAAGCATTGATTGTAGTTGATTTAACTTTAATCATGGACAAAGGAAGATAACTCCAATTTTAAAAATTACTTGAATAATGACATTGATATTTTTGGAAAAAAAAATGAAAAATTTAGCAATTTTTCCATTTGTAAAGGGGCATAACTCTAGAACAGTAAAAATGACGCCACCAAACTTGATCTGTGTTTTGTTGTTACAAACATTGTGTATAAGTTTGATAACTTTTGGTTGAGGCAAACTTAAGTTAGAGAACAGAAACCAACTTTGGGACGTACGGACAAGGGTAAAACTTAGGCTTCGGCGGGGGCATAAAAATGTAGTTTAATTTGTTCCATTGACCGCCATATGACAGAAAGCCTTCAGACTCCATACAAATCTTTTATGAAAATCAATGGCACTTACCAATCAAAGTACTTGTGAACACTGATGGGTAAAGATTGCTTTCATTTTGCAATTTTGTGAATTTAAAATAAAACATTGAATTGTATTTAGCTTGGCAAATAATAAATATGAATTAGAGTTATCTTCTTTTGTTCATGATTGTACATTTGTAGTTGAACCTATTTTTATCACAGATTCATACACCACACATTACTTATGTAAATTACAAATGTACAATAAAGAAAATTCTTCTTGATAAGTATAGTAATTCAAATACACATCATATTGTAACTTGAATATCTAACATATCATTTTGTTTTGTTTTGGATATTGTATTGATAATAAGTAGCAGCCAGATTTTATTTTCCATTCTGGTTGACATGCTTTACATGAACTCAAATATGATCCATGTAGACATCTTAGGTTGTGTTCACACTGACCATTTGAAACATATTTTGTGCATACAAGTTTTATTGTTTATCTTTGTTATCAAAAAACAAATCAATTGTTTGACATGCATTCAATTCTATTCAAAAGCAACTGACAGTTTGAAGCTTAAAAAGAATAATGGACTGAAACCTTATAATGTTCGAAAAATTTATTTCATCTTATTCAAGACTGTGTTTACCAGACCTCACTTGCTATGGAAAAAATTATGGACAACAGCATTTGTTTCTAACTGATTCATCATTTTTTGTATTCTCAGTGGCTTTGATTTTTAAAAACTGTGTACCAGTATGTAATCTTTGTAAATGTGATTGACTGCCTTTAGTGACAACATATTCAGATTTTACTCATGAGTCAAAGAAGGCCAGGTTTCTAAGAGGCTTGTATTAATTAATAATAAGATTGCTTTTTTGCTGTAGAATCTATGAGTATCTATATCATTTCTTGATTTAACAAGACCAATACCTTGTCTGCACCTGTGTCGCTGCATGTAATTGATTGAGGTAACATGTATACTGAAGCATAACTGATTATTTCCTTTCATTGAAACCAAGAAAATTTAATGACTATTTTTCTTGTGCAATGAGTGTTGTAAAATTTCAAACAAATGGGCATACAGAAAGTGGATACATGGCAGATGTAAAAATTGCTTATAACTTAAAAGTCAACATCCAAGTTGCAGATAAAACATAAAATCATTCCCTTGTATTGAAGCCAAGAAAAATTTGATTTTGACGAAAATTTTCCCAGTACAATATTAATGAGTGTTGTAAAATTTAAAACTATCATCAAACATGAAGTGGCTTCCCGGCAGATGTAAAAATTGCTAAAAATGTTAAAACTCAACATTATCAAGATAACTTAATATAAAATCATTACCTTACAAAGAAGCCAAGAAAATTTTAAGTAAGTAAATGTAAGTGAGGTGGTTACTAGACCTGCTTTTGCAGTTAAAAAGTAATCAGTTTTAATTTCTTTAGCATTCCTTTGAGTTTTTTATATGAACAATACTTCAATATTACTAGTGCCGGAAAATATAAAAGTAAATCAGTTTTCATTTTTTTACATACTTTTTCTCAAGATTTTTTTTTAACCATACAATATTTACCTTTCTTTTGCCAGAACAGACATTCCATTTAATAATATAGGAACCACTGTTTGGTCTAGATAGGCCCTCGTTGGCAATGACTGCAAGTCAACCCTAGGTCTTTTTGATGGATTCTCTTGTAATTCTTTTTCACTAGTTATGATTTTCTGTAAACAGAACAATCAAAAAAATATCAGTTCTACCCTACTTACAAAAATTGAAAGCACTAAATTTTAAGATGCATGTATAAGAAAAAAGTATTACATGTAGTAGATTTTATGTTTTCTGTTATGAAAGCTTCAATCTCAAAGATATGACTCATGACTTAGATCTATTTTGAAAACCACAGAATTACTGGTATATCATCCCAAACAAAAAATGAACATTTTTTTGGTGGCTTATGAGATTCGTATGTTAAATATTGTTTGATTAGCCACTTTTGCTGTTAATGAACATGTTTTGTTTAATCTTACACATATATTAAGATTTTGAAAATTAGGTCATACAATTTTGCTAATCCACACAATGTTTGAAAAACACAATAAGGCTTTAATATAAAATTGCATTATGCACTTTAACATGTTTAAGGCTTAAATATATTTAGATATTGCTACATTGTATCAGAAATGCTTACAGTTTAATTATACTGGTCAAGTAATTTAAACAAGAATATGGGTCCATAAGACACCGCATGTCCTGCTTGCACTACCTATATTTTATTTCCATGTTCAGAGAACTGTGAAATATTGATCAAAAGCTTAAATTTGTATAAATATTAAACAGCTTTCTTCATATTGAACATGTGACATGTTCACAAAGTTTCAGGTTAATGTGATCACAAACTACCCCTAAACCAAAACTTGAACCTACCTTAAACCAAAACTTTAACCTAAAAAGGGAAGTACAGACAAATACACAGAACAAAACATACTGCCCCTCTTCTATTGTAGTTGAGGCATAAACAAGAATGTGTCCATAGTACATGGATGCCCCACTCGCACTATCATTTTCTATGGTCAGTGGACTGTGAAATTGGGGTCAAAACTCTAATTTGGCATTAAAACTAGAAAGATCATATAATAGGGAACATGTGTACTAATTTCAAGTTGAATGGACTTCAACTTCATCAAAAACTACCTTGACCAAAAACTTTAACCTGAAGCATGACAGACGGACGAACGGACACACAGACCAGAAAACATAATGTCCCTACTACTATCGTAGGTGGGGCATAAAAACATAATGTAACTTTTGGTAAAGGGAATATCCAAATCTTGACGCCAATCCTCATTAAGCTAGTGGACATTATAATTATTATTAATCTGTGTGTAAGTGCATATTTATATGAATGTATTTGTTTACCTGTACATTTTCTGGCACGCCTGATGGTAAAGGTGTACTACTTTGTTGATCTGTAAGTGCATCTCCGGCGACTGAACCTGCTGTATTCTGATCTAAACAAATATATAAACACACCATTTGCTAGATCAATGTTTTGTGGATAAACATGTTACATTGTACAGTATATGTATGTAATTCAAAGAAATAAAGTTGCAATATTTTTATTATTAAAGAAAAAAAATAACAATAAATATTTCCAGTCAAAGCAATTCCAACAAACTTAGTTAAAACTTGTTTAAAGAGTTATTCAGTCTCATCTACCTTTATACCTCTATACGACTCCTGTATTTTTCATCATTTTAAATTTTTTTTTTTGTTGCACCCCTTGGAGGACTGTACAAATTGGGTTTTTTTCTCAAGTTGATCAGACTTTTTAGAGTTACATTTATACAATCCATAAAAGCAGTTGTTTGTCTGCTGCTATAATTAACGTATTTACACTTTTGGTATTTAGCTCAATTTTATCTCTGAATGACCCAAGATCTGTCTCCAAATAACCTTCTGATGTCAAGCAACAATCACTTTTAAGCATGACGTCAAATTTTTTAAATTGCGATGTCAAATTTTATGGGAACTTGCGCGTTTATTGTGTGGTTTTAAGTAATGGCAGTCAAATTTGCATACAAGTGTAAATTTGTCTATAGTTACAAATTATTGATCAATCCTCATCAATCATTTAATTTGTAACAGGAAGTATAAAATATATTGTTTTCATTCAGGAAAATTTCAATTGCAGTGGGAAAAACCCAGAGACATCCTGAATGAAAACAGTTTACTTTCATGGGGAAACGGGAAGTTTTACTTCATTTTCCTCTTCTAAATCAACAAAAAAAGTTATCAAATAAAAGACAGAAGTATAAGTATTAACATTTATTTTTGCCTTTTGAGTTGCGCCACAAAATAACAGACTATAATTGAGCTGAAACTTGTCTGTATCCATACAGGATTCTAAATATTTGGGGTCACAAATTCAAAAGGAAAACAAAGATGAAGAGAGGCAAAAATAGACAAAAAACAAGGGGTAAAATTTAGTGTGAGGAGAAATGAAATTTGGGATATGTCCAAAGCTTTCTTTGGCTCATGAATGAGGAGGCCAAATGATGTGCCTTCCAATTATTTCCAATAAAATTTGCAAAAACTTTACTTTATATGGTTTTATACTATTGTAATAGATATTAAAGTATATTTAATTTTAAGATACAACTCGTTTTACTCAATAAAACACAATGTCACTTCATGAATTTGATTTGTGTGTCTTGTATGCAAGTCCAGTGTGGATAACAATATGGCAGACCTAAATATTCACAAGTTTGAGCTTTCTAAAAAGCTATGGACTGCTTCGCTCTACCCTACTTTAAGATAATATGTGTGCATGTGGTTGTTGATTTAGTATTGGAAATGTGGTATTTTTATATATTGATTGATATAAAATGGATGTCTTAGACTTGGAATATCAATCTGTCCACTTTACTTGTTGAAAATTTAAACATTTATGAATAAACACTCTTGAGGTGTGCCTCTCTGGAGGTGTGCCTAGATTGGCAGAAGTTATAAAATACAGATAATGCATTTTTGTAAACATTGTATTGGAACATTGTTTAGCAAAACAAATCGTGCATATTGCAGATTAACAAAGCAAATAAACACATATTTATAATTGATATTTCAATATTGAATTTTAGTGTGCAATATACATGTATGCATAAAAAAACGAACATGAATCAGTAATGACAGTTGATCGGAACTGAAATACACATAGTAAATTTTTCAGGCATTTGATGTCTTATCATAAGACGAGAAAAAGTCTGTAATTCTTTATCTCATTTAAGCCAATAGCTGTTGCTGTACATGTATCTCAGCCGCATCATAAAGCAACCAATCATAATCTATATGAGATAAGTAATTATTTCAAGATGGCGTGTATATCAACTGAAACTAATAGCTCTGCACTGTGATGCGAAGCAAAAAGGTGGATAACTCTATCTAAATAAAAGTAAAAAAAGTATAAATAATTTTTCTTTTAAATTTAGTTTCCAAATGATGTATTTACTTATCAAATTTCCATTATGAACATGATTAAAGAAACTAATCCTTCAGAACTTTTTTTACTCTTTTATTTAGATAGTTATCTACCTATTTAATAATTACGTCCGCCATATTGTTACAAGACACACAAATCGAATTCTTGAAGTGAAATTGTACTTTTTTTGAGTAAAAATGACTTACACCATTGTACATGTAGATCTCAAAATTATATACTTTTATATATATATATATATATATATATAATATAACTATAAGCAGTATAACTATAACTCCATATAAAATTAAGTTTTCGGGTAACATTTATGGGTTCTCAGGTCAATATTCAATTCTGGGGAGTTCTCTGGAAATCGTGGTACCCCTTTATGCCAGTTAGCACTGTGCATTTATACATGTAAGGGAATCAATCAATCTCTTCAGTTTCTAGCGCAATAAAGTGTTTGACCAAAACCCCTTGTTTAAATTTTCTTCATGTGATTTGGACAGGGAGGAGGGAAACAGAAACTTTACAGGATCAGAAAGTTTTTAATGTCAAATTAAGAGAGTACAAAAGACAAAAAGGGGGGGTAATAAATAATTTTAAAAGAAAAACAGTAGATCACAACTGTCATGACAGTGTTATTTTCAGAGACAGGTATATTGATAATTTGTAGCCGTTATTATTTCGATATATTGTGTATTTGATATTGCTTTAATGTGTAAATAACACATGTTTTTACTCGTTTTACGGTTAAAATACAATGAAATAGTTTCGTTTTCTACTAACCGTCTGCCATGTTTGTCTCTATGGGAAAATAAACTGGTCCTAGCGTAACACATTGCAGGAGAACAAACACCGAAAATCCTAGGAGACCAGTCGGAAAAGTGCGCGAAATATCTAATTACCATTTCAAATTTAAATATTTACTGAGTATAACGTACCATAATTGTATTATTTTACTGTCGGAAGATACCCAATAAGATTTTTAAAATTGTGGGGAATTCATAATTACAAATAAAATTACATTTACATGTACTATATATTGAATTCATTATAGTGTTGTGTACATGATTTGCAATAAAATCTGTACTAAATGAAAATAACACTTTATAATTTTCGTGCGTCAAATCGAACTCTCATTTCTGGATTTATCTTCTTCAGGAACATCTGAAAGCCAAGAATTATATAGGTATATGAATACCTGAATACGTGAGGAACTTTCTTGACCAAAAAAATAAAAAAAATAACAGAATAACCTAATGCATAGCTGAATTAATTTCGTAACAACTAATCAAATTTATTGTCTGAAATCCGTAAAATCGGGTAAATTTTTTATTGTTAGAAATTAGCAAAACAAAACAAGGGCGATTAGAACGATGCTGGCGAGATTCTACACTTTAAAAAGACACATTAACATAAATGCAATGAACAAATCACATGTCAAGTTCTAAATCACAACAACGATCTTAACCCGAGATATGTAACTCTGGTCAGATAGTGCATTTCTCAAAGTTTTAGATACAAGCATCGTTTAGAATGGTGTTTAAATTGAGATTGCCTGTATGGCGCGGTAAAGTGGTCTCTTAGTTTGATGGCAGTTTTAAATGTTATTCAAATGATAAGTCAATGGTTAACTGGTTAAACAAGTTATCTCCCTTACAATGGAACATGTTTTCAAGGACGCACTTTATAAGTTCACATAAAACCATGTAGTGTAAAATTGGATTTCTCATTCGACCAACCCATCAAAAATCTATCGAAACATAAAAAAAAACACAACTAAACCCCTAGAAATACTAGTATAACCTTTAATTATAGACAGGACTGGTCTTTTCTTCCGCCGTTAGATCAATAATCTCTTGTTACTTCGTTGTTACTCTCCTTCTTGCCTAAAGCATAAATTTAAAAAAACGTAATATATATTAAATGCACAACTATCTCTATAACCTATTTTTATAAATTGCAACGAGTTTTGAAATATAAATGCTATCCAAATGGAGCTGATTTGTACCGTTAGGGAATATTTGTAATATGAATCTTGTATCAAAAAGGGGGTTGTTCTTTATTTCAATAATCAGTTATATATTATACAAAAAATATATCTCTCTCTATATATATATGAACTTGTACAAAATGTTGTGTTTTTGATCAGTTGTTCCTGTGTATCTTACCTTTAATATTCTTCTGTTTCTTCTTTCTTGCTGAAATATGAATATATTGGATAAACATATATGCCGGAAAATGACTTACCTGCTCTAGATTATCTTCTAATAATATTGTTAGGACAACAGTTCGCTTTCCTTTCCTGTGACATAACACGAAAAACTCAAAGACTCATTTATCCGGATACTTGAAAAAAGCCAAAGGTTGGTATACAATATGTAGGACAAACAGGACGGGATTTTTTAGACGAACACAGCAACATTTATACCACTTCCGAAAAAATAAGAAATTCGAAAGTATAATTTACCAACATTTAGGTAAACACAATCGCAATATTAAATTTATAAGATTCCAACCACTCGAAACGATCTAGAAACAACAAGGGTAATCGCATAAACAATTTGAAGGTTCCCGTAAAATCATCGAACTGTCTTGGATTAAACGACTGCAGACAGCATATCTAAATGACAATATACTGGGACAAGGGAACATATCATATGTTCGGTGTGAGCCAAGGCTCTGTGTTGAAGGCCGTACTTTGTTTTTTTTTACATTGTTTTACATCCCCCTTTTTTAGCTCACCTGGCCCGAAGGGCCAAGTGAGCTTTTCTCATCACTTGGCGTCCGTCGTCCGTCGTCCGTCGTCCGTCGTCCGCCGTCGTCCGGCGTCGTCCGGCGTCGTCCGTCGTCGGCGTTAACTCTTTACATTTTGAACTTCTTCTAGAGAACCACTGAATGGAATGAAACCAAACATGGCATGAATGTTCCTTATGAGGTGCTGACCAAGTGTTGTTACTTTGTAGCCGATCCATCATCCAAGATTGCCGCCAGCGGGGGACTTAGTTTAACATAGGACCCTATGGGAAATGCATACAAATGACTTCTTTTAGAGAACCACTGAATGGAATGAAACCAAACATGGCATGAATGTTCCTTATGAGGTGCTGACCAAGTGTTGTTACTTTGTAGCCGATCCATCATCCAAGATGGCCGCCAGCGGGGGACTTAGTTTAACATAGGACCCTATGGGAAATGCATACAAATGACTTCTTTTAGAGAACCACTGAATGGAATAAAACCAAACATGGCATGAATGTTCCTTATGAGGTGCTGACCATGTGTTGTTACTTTGTAGCCGATCCATCATCCAAGATGGCCGCCATCGGGGAACTTAGTTTAATATAGGACCCTATGGGAAATACATACAAATGTCTTCTTTTAGAGAACCACTGAATGGAATGAAACCAAACATGTCATGAATGTTCCTTGTGAGGTGCTGACCAAGTGTTGTTAGTTTGTAGCCGATCCATCATCCAAGATGGCCACCAGCGGGGGACTTAGTTTAACATAGGACCCTATGGGAAATACATAAAAATGTCTTCTTTTAGAGAACCACTGAATGGAATGGAACCAAACATGGCATGAATGTTCCTTATGAGATGCTGACCAAGTGTTGTTACTTTGCAGCCGGTCCATCATCCAAGATGGCCGCCAGCGGAGGACTTAGTTCAACATAGGACCCTATGGGAAATACATACAAATGTCTTCTTTTAGAGAACCACTGAATGGAATGAAACCAAACATGGCATGATTGATCCTTATGAGGTTCTGACCAAGTGTTGTTACTTTGTAGCCGATCCATCATCCAAGATGGCCGCCAGCGGGGGACTTAGTTTAACATAGGACCCTATGGGAAATACATACAAATGTCTTCTTTTAGAGATCCACTGAATGGAATGAAACCAAACATGGCATGAATGTTCCTTATGAGGTGCTGACCAAGTGTTGTTACTTTGCAGTCGGTCCATCATCCAAGATGACCGACAGCAGGGGACTTAGTTTAACAAAGGACCTATGGGAAATACATACAAATGTCTTCTTTTAGAGAACCACTGAATGGAATGAAACCAAACATGGCATGAATCTTCCTTATGAGATGCTGACCAAGTGTTGTTACTTTGTAGCCGATCCATCATCCAAGATGGCCGCCAGCGGGGGACTTAGTTTTACATAGGACCCTTTGGGAAATACATAAAAATGTCTTCTTTTAGAGAACCAATAAATGGAATGGAACCAAACATGGCATGAATGTTCCTTATGAGATGTTGACCAAGTGTTGTTACTTTGCAGCCGATCCATCATCCAAGATGGCCGACAGCGGGGGACTTAGTTTAACATAGGACCCTATGGGAAATACATACAATTGTCTTCTTTTAGAGAACCACTGAATGGAATTGAACCAAACATGGCATGAATGTTCCTTATGAAGTGCTGACCAAGTGTTGCTACTTTGTTGCCGATTTACTGTTCAAGATGGCCACCAGGATATTTTATTAAATAACGGGACCAATATTAATCAAAATTTGGCCTCAATCATTATTTGGGTATCTGTTATGATTTTTATCTATCTTTACATGATTTCTAAAACCTAAGTAGAGTCAGGTGAGCGACACAGGATCTTGAGAGCCTCTAGTTTATTATTAATATTGTATTTATATTGTGTCATAGATCAAATTTATTCGTTCAGTGTGTGTTTACTTGTTTTTGTTAATATGTCTTTTTAATTGAGTTAAGCTATTTCAATTGATATTTTATAGTGTGTCTTTCTATGTTGTAATGTTACACTACTATTTCAGGTTAGGGTGAAGGTTGGCGCCTGTTAAAAAGTTTAAACCCGCTGCATTTGTTTGCACCTGTCCTAAGTCAGGAACCTGTTTCAGTGGTTGTTGTTTGTTGGTGTGGTTCTTAAGTGTTTCTCGTTTCTCGTTTTGTATATAGATTAGACCGTTGGTTTTCCTGTTTGAATTATTTTACACTAGTCATTTTAGGCCCTTTATAGCTTCCTGTTCGGTGTGAGCCAATGCCATACTTTGACCTATAATTGTTTACTTTTTACACATTATGACTTGGATGGAGAGTTGTCTCATTGGCACTCATACCACATCTTCTTATTTCTATATCATGAATATTGTTGATAAAAGATAACGTAATAATAGATCTCATGGCAAACATATCAATCGAAATCAACAAATTAAACATCGTAATAATTATACATTTGATGATCTATCTGTATTTAAAAACAATGGTAGGCATCAATTATTATGTAAACTGTATGGCAAGCCGTTTTACTATTTATTTTAACTTCAAGATATCGATAAACTATATGAGATATCTTATAAAGTATATAAAATATCTTATGAACTATATGTGATATCTCATATAATTGATATCTTATATAATATATAAGATATCTAATCAAAACTAGATTATATAAGATATCTTATATATCATATGAGATGTCTTATATATTATATAATATATAAGATAGGTATATTATATTTTATATGAGATATCTTATATATTATATGAGATATCTGATATATTATATGAGATATCTTATATATTTTATGAGATATTTTATAAATTATGTAAGATATATTATATAAGATATCTCATAAAGATTATAAGATATCTTATATAGTTTATAAGATATCTCATAAAGTTTATAAGATATCTTATATTGTTTATAAGATATCTCATATAGTTTATATGATATCTTATTTAGTTTATAAGATATTTCATATAATTTCCTTTATAAGATATCTGATATAAAAAATATTTATAAGATATCTAATAAACTTTATAAGATTTCTTATATTCTTTATAAAACTTTAGAACCATATATATTATATGAGATATCTGATATA